GAGATGAGTCTATTGATCATGCGTTCGGATATCATGTAACGTCCAATTGCTATAAAAATTTCTCAACACTGAGACCAGTTTCTGTACTTCTCACATCCCACACTGGTAAGAGCCCAGACCTGCACCGGTCTGTGGGCTGCTTCGATCAGCCCACTTGGTCTACTGGCAAGTTACTGGAAGACTTCTTGGATCTTACTGGATAGCTGAAGGTAAAGGGAACATTGATGGAGTAATAGATAAAAAACTCACAAACACTGTTATCTTTTGAAGTGACAGGAACATCTTCCCCCTGATTGCTTCCTAAATGATACCATTTTTTCTTTCCTTACTTGTCCCGCCCATCTTTCTCCGCATCACATAAAGGTATCACATAGAGGTGGTTTACTTGAAAATTTAGTCCATAAATATTATGTGGTGCCAGAAAGTAAACAAGTGTTCAAAAAATAATGACATGTCAAAAGGACACAGGAGCCAGTGAAGGGGGCTCCTACTGGCCAAATCTGGGACAATTGAGCAGCAAAATAAATAGTAATGATGGATTATAACACAGAGACTAAAACAAATATCCATGAGTTCAGGTAATACAAATAGAGTAGATAAATTAATGGGAGAGGAGGGAAAGCTCTTCTTTACAGAATTCCAATTAATAAATATAGAAGGAATAATACATTGAGAAAATCATTATTTGGCAAACACTGCAGTAATAATTATTTCAGGCAAGAATCATCAACGGATGCTAAAATGAATGGCTGAAAGTAGGATGAAAAATGGGATATAAACAGAGTCTTAAAGTGTCTAAGTATAAAAGAAAAAATAGCTTGATTGGGGAGAAACCTGGCCTGTACCACCTTAGCCAGTTACTGTCACCAAAATGAGACACTGATCATATGCCTCCTGATAAGGATGAGCTGTGATGGGCACAGCACTTCTCTGGTATTCTTTCCAACAGTTCATAACCTGAATTTCATCGTGAGCAAATATCAAACCAACCCAAATTGAGGGACAGTCCATAAAATAACTGACATTCCTCTTCAAAAGCGAACTGGCCCACCTTACTCTTGTTGGTGTCTATGACTTTTTGTCTTATTGATTTGTTGCTTTCAGTTTATAAAATTTTCTTTAAAAGTGAGCTGTCTCAAAATAAAGGAGACTGAGGACATATGACAACTAAATGCAATGTGTGTTCCTGAATTGGACCTTGATTCAGTAAAAGGTCATTAGTAGGCCCATTAACGTAATTTAACCAGTTTGTTACTAGTGTTTGCAACCAAGAAATTGGCTAGTGTATCCGTGGTACAATGACGGGTCCAAGCAGAGTTCCTTGAATTGAGTTCTGTTATTAGTTTATATTAAGCATTCATAAACCTTAAAACATGTTATTCCACCACATGCTAATTTTTGCAAACCTGGAGTATTTCCACCGCATTTATATACATTAAAAACTTTGATTCAGCCCGGCCGGGCGTGGCTCAGCGGTTGAGCATCGACCTAGGATCCAGGAGATCGCAGTTGGATTCCCCGTCAGGGCACAGGCCCCGATTGTGGGCTCGATCCCCAGCGGGGGGCGTTCGGGAGGCAGCCACTCAGTGACTCTCTCATCATTGATGCTTCTATCTCTCCCTCTCCCTTCCTCTCTCTGAAATCAATAAAGATACATTTTAAAAAACACCACACAACTTTGATTCAGAGAAATTAAGGGATTTGCCCAAGATTATTCAGCCAGTAAGTGAAGTGAGCTGAGTGCATTTTAATGACAGTGCCTACTAATGGCATTCTCCAACAACTCTGTTTTTTCCAAGAAACCATTGCATAGTCATTCTGTCACAAGAAGGCTAGAAAGACACTGCCTAAGGCTAAGGTTAGAAGGCTTGATGCCACCGCATGACTTACAGAATGGTCACTGGCCCCAGTTCCTATGTACTTTGGAAATTGTTGGTTTGATCATCCATTAAAAAGTAAGTCCATGGACCATGGCAGCCAAGGGGGAGGTGAGAGTGGGTAGAAGGGACGCGCCTGGGCAGCGCTCGGGATGGGCACCAATTCGCGCACCCAGCAGTTCCTGCCGACCTCACCGGCTGCGCCCTCTGCCCTCCTGCACCCTGAGCTCGCCTGTAAACGTCCTAGCGTCGGTCCTCACTACGCCTGGCCTTTGGGATTGCTGCTCGTCACCCTCCTCCTCTTAGGGTTTGCCCGTGTCCTGAACTCCCAGCCCAGATCAGCTGCTGCGCGTGCCTGGAGAGCTCAGGATGCGAGTCTCCGGACAGCAGCGACAGTGGCTTTGGGCCGGGGGAAGACGCAGCATACCTGGATGGGGTGCCCCTGCCCGACTTGGAGCTCCTCAGAGTCCCCGCGGATGAGCACCCGTGTGCCAGCCTGCTGCAGCTGCTGCAGGAGAGCCTGGCCCCGGCGCGCCTGCTGACGCCTGGCCAGCTGGTGAGCCAGGTGGGCACAGTACTGCTGTGCCTGGCCCACAGCGAGCCGTGCGGCCTGCGGGGGGCGCTGCTGGACATCGACGGAGAACAGGGCAAGGGGTGCCACAGCGTTGGCCAGCTGGCCCTCGACCCCAACTTGGTGCCCACCTTCCAGCTGACCCTCGTGCTGCGCCTGGGCCCACGCCTCTCGCCCAAGATCCAGGGGCTGTTTAGCTCTCCCAACCCCCCTCAGCCAGTTCCTGATGCCGACTGAGCACCAGCTTCCGAGTCATCAAGAGGCTGTACAGCTCCTAGCAGCTGCGCATCAAGTGTTTAACTTAGGCGTGTGTGTGTGTGTGTGTGTGCAGGTGGCGTGTGCCCCTCAGTACTGTAGCATGAAACAAAGGTTTAGGGGCCAACCGGGCTTCTGGCTGGATGTGTATGCAGCATGTGCCTTATTTTTTTTTGTTACTGACAGTTAAGACGACAGTGGTGTGACAGGAGAGCTGCTGGGCTGCACTGGCCTCTGCACCGTAGCCGGCCCTGGTGAGAAGGGTAAGTCATTGAGATGTTTGGTGTATCTCATGATCTGAAGGGGCCGAATGTGCGTGTTCTTTGTTTTTGCATCTTTTTTTGATCAGAGCTTCACTATTGACCTGTTCTAGGCAGTGATCTTACAGATGCATGAATTGTAAGAGGAAGGGGTGGGTGTAGGGATCACTTGGGGGATCTTTGACACGAAGAAAAAATACACCTACGAACTGCATTTGGCGCATCGCCCCACTGTGTACCCGGGAGTTTATCTGTGAGGGGCGGGGCTGATTGGGGTGGGGCTGGACCCCGCCCCCGGAGTGCCATCCGGGTCTTGCATCTGGAACTGTTTACACGAAGATACTTGCTGTTCATGAATACGCTTGATGTTCAGGTGTTAAGACCTGTGCAATATTTACTTTTCTAATAAAAATATTTGTTAAAAAAAGTTTATTGACTTCCGTATTATTTCGTACCAATGAAAATGGATTGAGAATATCATTCCTTCAAAAAAGACAAGCAAAAGAAAACAAAAATTGATTCTATATTATTCCTAATAGAATTAGGCCACAAGCAGTATCTACCACATGTAAAACCTCAGATGTTTCATAAACCCAGAATATTTTACCAAGAGGATATAAAGTGATTGGGTTTTTCCTTTCAGTGCCAGTGGAATAGTCAGGAGTCTGGCTTTCCTGCCTCACACACTGTGATTTATGTTCCTGAACAAATTAGACTTAATTTAAGAGCAAATCATCAGCAACAGGTATAATAATCTTGGCAGAACATTTATTTTAATTAATTGCTTTCTGTCTAACATAGATAGAAGGGTGCTGATGCCATTTACCCTATAAGGATTAGTGCTGTCATGTAATTAATTTTTTTCTTCCCCAAGAACTTAAAAGTCTCATCAGTTTTAAATCACAAAGGCATTGGTTTACTTCATATTTAATCATAACAATCTAACTTTTATGCAGTTTACAGAAGAAATTTGTGAAAGAAAAATGAACCGTAATCACTGCAGCATTATAGATTCCTGCTCCCCAAACAGGCCCTTCTGGGTTCCATGGGGGTCAGTGTTTTGGGGCGAGGCAGCTGAAAACCCTCACCCCATAAACTTGGCAGTGGGTAGCGGTGGCGCATACTTGAGTGATTTTAGAACAGTGTTGTTTTTCTTCCCTGTGGATTTGATTACCAGCTTCACCATTTATAGTTTAATGGGAGCCAAAAAGAAAACAAAAATTTCCTCTACTCTATGGATGCTTAACACTGCAGTTGTCAAAGGTATCTTGCAGTGAGTAGTAGAAAACACAACTAGACTCCAGCTTCTCAAACCTGCCAACCCTCAATGTTATTTAGACATGATTGGATGATCTTTCCAAAGAAGCAGCGGAAACAGCTAATACTAAACCAAAGAAGGTACCCAGGGGCAGAGCAGCATAACTGTCATACTAAAATAATTTAGCTACATCATCATGGAATTTTAAATTCTAATATGTCTTTTAAGAAAAATAACCTTGAAGCCTTTATTTTTTAAAAAATATATCTTTATTGATTTTAAAGGGGAAGGGAGAGAGAGAGAGAAACATCAATGATGAGAGAGTCGTTATTGATCGGCTGCCTCCTGCACGCCCCCTGCTGGGGATCGAGCCCGCAACCCGGGCCTGTGCCCTGACCGGGAATCGAAACCCGATCGCCTGGATCCCAGGTCAATGCTCAACCGCTGAGCCACGCCCAGCCGGGCTAAGCCTTTATTTTTGATAGTCCTTCATATTCTAACCACTTCGTTGTTTATTTGTCTTTTAAAACGCTATAGGGAAGTTGAAGCCTTTCCTACCTAGAGTCTAGTGTGAATTTATCATATATTCTGTATGAAATCAGTAACGGGAGTGGTCAAGTGTCTACATTCTATTTGGTACAACCTCAGGAAACAGTGAAAATAAACAGATGTTAAAAAAAAAGCATGAAACTGGATAACAAAATAGCCAATTCTGATTAAATAAAACCCTGTTTAGTTAGGGTTTTACCATATCAAACAGACTTAGTATTGAAATCACACAAATTTTGAATCATGAACTTTATTTGTCACTCTTTATAGACATTGGTCCACTTCCACATAAAATGTAGGGAGCATCTACTTACACTTAATGTTTTATAACGACGTTGTACCACAAACCATAGTAACTTACACAGAGGGAAAAGTTACTGAAATAGACTTTTATATTCATGCCCCAAGATATCCCCCAAATATTTGTTTTTGTCCGTATAATTATGAGCATTTATAACTCTACAAAGCTAGTTTCTTCTTAAATCAATGTTCTTCTTAATATCCACATTAGACCATCTGGATAACCAAACTTTCAAAAGCGGTTAAAAAATCAGGTGCAGTTTCAAATCCAAGTGACACTATATGCACATGCATAGTTCAGGGCTGCTCTAAAGTTAAAAACTTTTTCTCCTGTTTCAGAGATATTTACATCAAATTAAGACATTTACAATAGTATATAACAACCCATATATCATTTTCACCTATCCTGTATAAGGAAGTTAAGCACTCATAATCTAATAAATTCAGTGCATTTTGTCAACATAAATAACACAAGCTAGTCTAAATGTTTTACATTTATTTCAGTGCATTATTTTCAAATACTAAATGGAATGAAATTATAATTAATGGCTATATCATAATTGAGCACATTATAGAATCTATTACACAAATCAATTCACATCAATACTATAATTCATTCTAAACTTCACAGGCACACACAAAATAGAGAACGAAATTTGCTTTTTTAAAAATTTAAACTGTCCACTTTAAACTACACTAAAAGACTTATTTTCACAAAACAACCAATTTCCAAACCCCTTTTCTAAGTTTGGCTTAAGGAAAGTTCAATCCATTCGAATCTTCTGGTTTGTCATCCTATAAATGATGCTATCATATCCAGGATCCATGTTCCAAATATTGTAAGAGGTGATAATCACAGCCAAGGCCAAGGCGATCATTATCCAAAGTACCATGTTGAAAACCACTGAATATTCGAAATTATACTTATATGCAAGATTATAGGGACTTGATGGGTTCTTCTACAATGAAGAAAAAATCAAGAAGGAAGAATTTTAAGATAGGAAATTATCCCAGTGAAACAGCTATGATTCATTTCTCTAACATTTATTTTTAAGTGGCCATAAGAGCTTATACTAGGAAGAACCAAGAAGGGGAGCCTTTAAGGAAACGATCACACACTGTGGATTAAGTATAAACCAGTTCAACTGCTTGAGAGAACCGAGAAATGCCACTCAAGTTGAAGGTGTGCAGTGTGCATATCCTATGGTCCAGCAAGTTCAAACCCCAGGGAAAACTATATGTGTACCAAGAGACATGGACAAGGACATCCATTAACAGAACGGATCACTGGGAAACATCCATACAATGGAACACGAAGCTGTAAAATGACTGAACAGCTGTGTTTACTGGCTTCGTGACTCTTAAAAACAATACTGAGCAAAGAACAGAAAAATGCATAAAGTATGATTCCATTTATGTAAAATTCAAATAACAGGCAAAACCAAACAACACTGTTTAAGGATAAATGCATTCTGTAGTCATCATGACATGTGGTGAGTATGTCCTGCCAGAGACGTTTTACATTTACTTCTGGGCACCACAGGTCTTACTAGCCTGGGGCTACGGTACCAGGGTATATTCATTTCTTGGCCTGGGGTTTCCCGGGACTTGTAGGTAATATAAAATTGAGCCCCAAACCACATGAAGGTGGTCCTGTGGTTAAGAATTCCCTAGGAGACATTCCCACCCCCCAGTACCTACTATGACTACAGAGCGCAAGCTGCCTTTCTGTCTCCCTTTGCTGGAGGGCAGATTGTCTTCTAGTCCACCCTCCTACTGAGGGCACAGTACTTTCAGGGTCCCAGCTTTATAGGGAAGTGTCAGTTCCACCTCCGCCCCCTTCCCCCTTCCCCCATCCCATCTTTAGAGACCAAAGACCTGATTTCTAGTCTCAGTAATCCAACTAGAAACATCCCTAGAAATGTCCTGCTTGCTTACTGCAGTTTACAAGTTCCTCTTTATTTTCTCAAGAATTTCCCTTACTTTCTTGAGAGATAAATTATGCACTTAAAGAGGTGTTCATTTTTTTAATCCAGCATTTCTGGATGCTCTATAGTAGGAAATTTTTCCAGGTTGTCTAGCCTGACACGGTCCTTCCACTCCAATTTAGAGTGAAACAATCTCCTAAGTCCCACACTGCGATCAGTAAAAGTTAGCAGAGTGTGGGCTGCAAATGGGTCCAAAGGGGAGTGTCTATAAATGACTGGGAATCTGCTCCAAGAGATGAGGCCAACTGTAAATAATGTTCTTGGCCTCACGATGTTTGGGGGTATCCACACTTCTGCTCTTGTATATGTGTGTATGCGTGCGAGTGTGCACGCACGCACACACGTGTGCTGAACTATGGTCAGCACCCTTGCTTATGACTCTCTAAATGCTTAAAATCAAAGCAAGATCCAGGTCAAAAAATTATAAAAGCAAATCAAATTATAACGGGGGCAAAACAGTGTATTTTGGAAAATGAGGGGCTGTACCACAGAGACAGTGGACCTACCTCCTGGAAAAGCAGCCTCCCCAGGCTGAGAGAGCCACACCACTCCCTCACATTAACTTGTGATGTCTCCTTGTATATACCAATATTTGAATTATCTTATTGGCTTTGACAGATTTACTTTTATCCCTAAGTCAAACTCGTGTATTATCTGATTACACCCTAAAGAACTGAGCATGGCCCTAGCTGGTTTTGCTCAGTGGTTAGAGCATCAGCCCACGGACTGAAGGGTCCCATGTTTGACTCCAGCCAAGGGCACGTACCTCGGTTTCAGGCTCGATCCCCAGCCCTGGTAGGGGCATGTGCAGGAGGCAACCAATCGATGTGTCTCTCTCACATCGATGTTTCTCTCTCTCTCCCCCTTCTACTCTCTCTGAAAAGCAATGGAAAAAATATCTTCGGGAGAGGATTAAAAGGAAAAAAAGAACTGAGCATCACTGGCAAAACATACCTATGTGAATAAGAAACCTGTTTTGAGATTGGTTTTCAGATTTACTGACTACTCATTCATGCTGCCATAGGTGACGTGAGATTTAGTGGGGTTTTTAAGTTAACTTCACAGCTTTAAAGCAGCATCTAAAACTGTACTCACCTCTTGTTCTGCCTCAAGGATTGTCCTTGTCTTCCTCACAAGGGATGTGTCGAATGATCGGACAGTCACTAGCTCTACCACTGCATTCCCACCATAAAGACTATACATGTCATCTGCAAACTGAGGAGTTATTGACATTACTATAAATCTTAAATACATATTTATTTAAATTATTTGTAAAGCTTCCGTGCACCTCCAAGAACATTCACTTACCTATTGGCTCATGAAATACACTGTCTTAAAATAGGCAAGTCTTAAAGGCTTTGATTATGTTAAAATATTCAGAAAACTATTAAGCTTCAACATACATTCAAATGTTCAAAATAACTTTAAGAAGGGCCTGTATTTGTTAGCATATAAATTGGGAGAAGGGAAGTAGGAAAGGGAAATGGAGGCATCTTCCTAAATGGTCTCTGGTTAATCACAAACATCTACAAAGATTTAATTGTGAAACCTCATTAAACAGTTACAGGCGAGTAACTCCAAGGGCAAGAAAACATTAGCATTTATTGCGTATCTACTAAATGTCTGGTACTGTGCTTGGTGTTCCCCTTCGATTATTTCACAGTGTTTACTGGGTAGAGTTTCAGCTGGGAAGACGAAAGGTCGAGCAATGAATGGTGGTGGCGGCGGCTGCACAACAGTGTGAATGTACTTAATGCCGCAGAACTCTACGCTTAAAAATGGTAAGTTTTATGTTCTGTGTATTTTAGCACAATGGAAAGAAAAAGTATTGTGCTGGAGTTATCCACCATTTCCTAAGCTGCCTCTGCCAGAATTCGAGACGTCCCAACATACATCTTTGACCTACTCCGTCCTTGATCACTAAAATTAGAGGTCCTCCCAAAAAGGTAAGACTTCAATCAACATTAAGTATTTCACGAAGCAGATTTTTCCATTTAGAGGCTAAAAGTGAAATGGTCACACGCTGACCTCTCGTACCCCATTGATAATTTACCTTTTGTAGAGCATCAACAAGGATCTTAGAAGCATCTCTGAACTGTTCAGAATCTTCTCCGTAATGTTTCCCAATTTCATCCAAACCTGCCAGCTCCAGTGAATATAAATCAGGAGAATGATCCTTGGCTAGATGCTTATGTCGAGACAACTGAGGAGAACAAACCAAAGGAAGTAGATAGTCATGTCAAACACAGCCAGTTGAAGCTTTATGCCTAACTAAACTAGGCTGAACAGAACCATACCAGTGTGCCACAACATACATATAGTCTAAAATGGTGGCAAATGGAGCTGGTGAAGTGAGAGCTTCTGACAAATCCAATGTCTCATTTTTAAGAGCAGTTATAGGACTACTTGAATATTTAATAAAAGCTCTTTTTAAAATTCCTTAGTTTAAAAACTTCAGATATGAAAGAACAGATGGTTGCACCAGTCTGATCCCAGGAGAACATGAGCCATCAATGCTCAGAGAACAGACACCTCCCACATGCCCTCCTGGACCACCTGGCCAGCCACCAGCACTGTGCTTCCAGGCTCCCCGAACTGACCCTGCTGAAAAAGTTTGGGCAACAACTTCAGTAGATAGCAAACAGGTAAGTTTTTCTATTTCAATCACAGGAGGATTTTTTTTTCTAAATCATTCACCAAAAAGGAAAAAATACCCTTTAGGCAGATGTATTCCCTTCCTGACTTGGTCGACAGCAGTTAGTCCAAACTGTTACTTCTATTTTAGATATAGGATTTAAGTCTCAATGTCTGACAAGAAATCAATAGCCAAGTCAGGACTGCAGCTAGTCAGGACTGCAGGTCCTGTATTCTTGGAGTATATATTTATTGTCTCCTAAGAGTAGAAATCTAAAATAATTTGACTAGCATGAGATGAGTTCAAAATTACCACCACCACCGCTAATTCCTCAACTTTCATGGCATCATAAATAAATCCAGGGCATACTCGATAGAACTTTTCTATTGGTTTCACTAGCATTCAAAGATTCTCTAGAAATGTCTTCTGGAACCAAAATAAATGGAATTGAAAAATCGGAGCAGCTTACTTACCAAACTTGAAATATCATGTAGAACTTGCAGTTCAGAAAGAAAGAGCAGATCGACCTGCAGAGCGGAAAGGCAGGAGCATTAGTTTAAATATGCATCAGAGATCTGTACTTGCCATTTATCAAATAAGGCACAGGATATTACAAATGTTAAGCACATAAGTGAATTTATGCAACAGTTGTCCTCCATTTGGTAGGTTCATTTCCATTGAAAATGCATATAAAACATTATTTCCTAACAGAAAGGTGATGGTCATTCCCCCCAGCACAGTGACCACCACTCAACAGCCATATTTCTGATGAAGCTGTGATAAAGCATCTAAACTCTACAGTATTCGCTCAGGGCATCAGAATGTTCTGGCACACTGTAGTGAGGTCCCGCCAGTGGCCCAGCCTGCTCACATCCCTTGAGCATGTTCTACACTGAAGAATAAAGGCTGGTGGTCCTGGTTAACCATAGTAGGTAGAGGGGAGGGTGCCAGAAAGGTGGCATGCCATGTGGTTGGAGGGTGCGTGAACAGGTGGTGAAACTGACAGATGGGCTCCCTCCACTGCACAGTCAAGAATGAGCTAGAAAAATGAGGTAACACATCAGAAGGGGCAGCAAATGACGGCGCCCACGGTGCCAGATTGGCACAGCTCCATCAGCCACCAAGTGAATTCTGTGATTTCTGGTTTGTCCAGATTAACTGACGGCAGCCCTCACGCTAGAGTATAATACTAATTACTACTATGACTCGACTCACAAAAGGAATTTATTCGTGAGATTCATAAAATTACACTAAAGGAAAGAAGAATCTACTCCAGCCGTCAATTTGCAAAACTTCTCATTTTCTAAAACGTCGTTTGCTCGAAAGCCAGGAACATAAGAAATAGGAAACCAGTAATGATATTAATTTATTCCTTCGGTAACTGTACTTACTTCATTGCTCCTACTCAGAGAGTTGAGGGGAAGTGAATTGAGAACAGAGTTTTCTTGATACAGGCGATTGCGGAGCTGTCGTAACGTTACGGAAAGATCTTCAAAAACTGAGTTTGCCTTCCCCACCATATACACTCTCTGCAAGAAGAATCCAACATTTTAAGTTATGTTCTACAGATTAATTCCAATACACAGAGGTCTTATAGCTTTGTTCATAAAACTGGTTTTAAATTTTCATTAAATAATGAAAGCTAATTTTTTAAAGCATCTTAAATAAAAAACTGTATCACTTACTTCCTCGCTGGGAGCCAACTGCAAAACTACAGGAGTTTCTTCAGAAAATAAGGAGTGAATGGAATTTGCAACACTGTCAAGATTAAAAGGAACTGCCTGAAAGTTAAGAGTAAGACCTTAATTATTATCTGAACCAAAGTGGGAAGAAAAATCATTCAAATGGTATTTAAAAAGGAGCCTAAAAAAAAAGGGGGGCACTAGCATTTTCTATAGAAATTCAAAAGACCCATATCACACATCCAAACACAAAGAGCGCTTCTGAGGGCAAAGAAGATCAACCAGCCTCCTAGTGTGCCAATCGGAGTCTGTCTCCCAATGTGCCTAAAGAGGACACAACGCTATCCTGCATCAACCATCATTTTCTGGTGGTCATCTGTGTATTTTAAACAGCAATACATTTGGTTTCAATAGCAATTAAACATGCCACAAAGAACGTATATTCTCTACAATAAAGTATTAACTTTCACTCAATAGGTCAGAATACATCCATAACCTATGTGATCCTATCAACCAATGTCACCCCAATAAATTTAATTTTTTTAAAAAGAGGTCAGAAGAATTTGAACTGAATTTAATTGAAAGAGAAATAGACCTCATTTTTCATTTCAAAATTTTTAAAATGTTTAATAAGATTGAGGGTTTGTCTTCAGACACACTGAAGACTCAGACAAGGCATAAAGTAAGTCACAGAATTTCATAGGTCCTTTATCTTAGGACCACATGGTATTAAATTGAAATAACCCATTGTGGTAAAATCTGCTTTTTTTTCCTTGAATTTTTTTATTAAAAGTGTAACATACAACCTGGCCGTCGTGGCTCAGCTGCTGAGCATTGACCTAGGATCCAGGAGATTGCAGTTCAATCCCTGTTCAATTCCCAGTCAGGGCTCATGGCCAGGTTGCGGGCTCAACCCCCAGTAGGGGGCGTGCAGGAGGCAGCCGATCAATGACTCTCATCATTGATGTTTCTCTCTCTCTCCCTCTCCCTTCCTCTCTCTGAAATCAATAAAGATATATATTTTTTAAAAAGTGTAACATACATATAATAAGTGCACAAATCTTGGGGTAACAGCTCAAGGAATGTTTACAAATGGATACACTCATATAACCCAACCAGATCAAGACAGAACATTATCAGCACCCAGAAGCCTCCACAGCCACTCCCTCCACCCACAAGAACAACCAAAATTCTGACTTCTATCTCCATAGATCTGTTTTTGCCCCAAATTATTTTTAACAATAAATTGTGGTAATTCTTCCCCTCAAAATAATTATTTTATTCTCAATATTATGGTATTAAAACAAGCAGTATAGTAGTAGTTGTTTTGCTTTAATGGAGATTTCTTACAGTGATTTTTTTCAGTAATTCCCTTTACTATCAAAAGGTTCATGTTTATCAGCAACAAATTTTTTTTTTTTTTAAATA